GCCTCGTTCAAAAGACACGAGGAATGTTCAGTTTATTGGTAAATCGGGCGCTACCATTATGATCAGTTTGAAAATAAGTGAAAACGGTACAATTTAGTTTTTAATAACAGCAGATTATGTTGCATTTTGTCATTTTTACCGATTATTAGGTGGACGCTTGCCAAAGACATTTTCTTTTCTCCGCAACCGAGTCTTAAATAGCAGGACAGGCTAGATTTATTAGCTGTCGTTGCCAACTAGTACAGAAGGAAAATTCTAAATTGAAAACCGTATGTGACCCTGTTGGGGCACGTACTTGAACTATGACTGATCCTCTCAGCAAAGTTGCAGTATAAACCACAGGTCGACTGTGGGCGTTAAAGAGGCATAGGTGTCTGAAATAATCAAACATGTTGAAGGACAGAAAGAACACTGATTTGCAGCGTGCTCTCAAATCCAAACAGCTCTGATGATGTAGTATTTTATGTGTAAAACAGAGGTGAACAAGTTAAGGTTAATCATTAGAAGATATTAAAGATTTGACATGCACGTTGTTTGAAATATTGTATTTATGAAATAGCTTCTTTTTATGTGCCGTGTCCCTTCAGGACGTCGGAGATCATGGCTCTCCACTTCCCTCTATCCCTTGTAGCTCTCAATAAGTTTTGACCCTTTGCCACTTCCCCTAGGCCATGTTCTGTCATCCGCCTGCTTAAACCTGCCAAGTATGTCAAGCGTTGTTTTCCCTTGTCTCTCTTTCCCTCTATTCTACCTGTGAGTATCAGATTCTACAAGCCCTCCTTTCTCATTACGTGTCCCAGAAATTTCCGCTGCCTCTTCCTGATGTTAAGTATAAGCTTCCTCCTTGTTTGCATCCTCTCCAAAACCTCATCGTTGCTCACACGCTCGGTCCATGATATATATTTAACATCCTTCCGTAGAACCATACCTCCGTTGGCTCGAGTCTCCTCTTCATGCTTGAGGAGGCCGTCCAACATTCGCTGCCTTAAAGGAGATCAGACAGGTCCCGCAAAACAAAAAAAAGGGGAAAAAAAAAAAAAAAAAAAAAAAAAAAGCAAAAAAGGGAAAAAGAGAAAAAAAACGGAAAAAGGAAAAAAAAAAAAGGAAAAAAGAGAAAAAAAGGAAAAAAGGGAAAAAAGCAAAAGGGAAAAGGAAGAAAAAAAAGGAAAAGAAAAAAGGAAAAAAACGGAAAAAAGAGAAAAAAACGGAAAAAGGAGAAAAAAGGAAAAAGGGAAAAAAAGCAAAAAAGGGAAAAAAAAGAGAAAAAACGGAAAAAAAAAGGAAAAAGGGGAAAAAAGGAAAGAGGGGGGAAAAGGAAAAAGGGGGAAAAAGGGAAAAGGAAAAAAGGAAAAAAGGGGAAAAGGAAAAAAGGGAAAAAGGGAAAAGGAAAAAAGGAAAAAGGGAAAAGGAAAAAAAAAAGGAAAAGGGAAAAGGAAAAAGGAAAAAAGGAAAAAGGAAAAAAAAAAAAAAAAAAGGAAAAGGAAAAAAAGAGAAAAAGGGAAAAAGGAAAAAGGGGGAAAAAGGAAAAAAGGGAGAAAAGAAAAAGGGAGAAAAAGGGAGAAAAAAGAAAAAAAGGGGGAAAAAAGGAAAAAGGGAAAAAGGGAAAAAAGGGAAAAATGAAAAAAAAGGGGGAAAAAGGGAGAAAAAAGCATATAGCTGTATCTTTTCATGGGCTCGCGAATTGAATTCGGAATTAGCGAGAAAGCAAGATTTACTGAAACAAAAGAAGTTTCTCGTTCGAAAATTATTCAGTGAGCGTTTTTGCCTCGGTAGGAACAAGTAGTTCTACAAATGCTAGGATTGAGTAGTCTCTCTTTTACTCACTCACTTTCCCTTGGTCACTGACAAGTAACCCAGCAAATTTCCCTACTGGTGAGAACAAAAATAGTCATTACTAACTACATGCGTTGTGCTAATTAATGCGACATAAAAAAAATGCAACAACTTTTCTCGTGGTAAAAAAGCGGCTGTTTTGATTTCTAGTAAGAAACAGAGACAGTGTTCATTAACCTAAAGACCGACGTAGCAACACAACCAACTCGGCCCACTACGGAATAACTGCTGTAGTTACCAAACATCAATTCGAGTCACATTCTTAACTTTAGGCGGAATTGAACAACATCAAATCAAAGGAGCAATTGAAAAAAATTAAACACATCGCGCAAACTAATTCATGGTAACCCGCTGACGTAAGAAAAACAAAATATTTAACCAAAACTTTGAAGGTTCTAAAAAGGAGCAAAAGATATAACAATAAAAAAGTTGGTCTTTCCTATTAATAATAAAGTTTTTGACGATAAAACTGTTTTTCTTTTTTCAAGTTTAGCGCATTTTTTCATCATGTAAGCTCATTTTTAGCGAATCTTCTTAAGTACCTATCTATAGTCTATGTATGTATAACTTAAAAATGTCCGTTTATAAAAACATTATTAAATGTTGTCCCTCCATATATTATTTAAATAGATCATTTCTTGAGCTGGAATAATCTATTATTAAATATAATAGATTATTCCAGCTCAAGAAAGGATACTGTAGAGTAGGCGGGATGGAACAACATCAAATCAAACGAGCAAATGATAAAATTAAACACAGCGCAAGGGCTCCACGCAGCCTTCCAGGTTTCAAACATACTTCATATTTTCAATTTAATAAAAATAAATAGCCAATAAAATCAGCTCCCGCCAGTAAATAAACACAGACCTCTGGAGCCTACACAAGACCATAAAAACCAGACATTCATTCAACCCGACAGAAGGACTGACAGAAGTAAAGAGACACGAGTTAACCTCGGCGTCTTGTCTTTCTCATCAAAGCAAAAACGGATTCCATTTGATTTTGTCTCCAAAATCCATTCTTCCTCACTGAAAGACTCTGATCATTTCTTTACAGTCAGAGAGAACTTTCATTTCATGGTAAGTAATTGCAGTTAAAATTTGTGTATCCGATGTTTAAATAAATATCATTTTATTTGAACACGCAACAAACTTTTATCTCATTTAAAAAAAAAATTTTAAACAGTGACCCAAGGAATCTTTCTTCCACAATCTATATACAATGTCGTATTAGTTATATGTATGTTTACTTTTAAAGGAAAGGAAAATGTATTCAGACAATATTAGGAAAACGATTTTTTGTTTGTGAAAACGCTAAAGAAAAAATTGAAAAGTTTTTTTTAACCAAGTTTAACATCAGCGGGAATCGTATATAATCGAGTATAGTGCGACTTTTTGTCACCAGCTTTTTTATGCAAAGAAAAATAGAGGGTTGTACTATAAAGAGATTAAAATCATGCATTTTCGGTGACACTATAGGTAGGTAATTTTTTTTTCTGGATGCGTGTGTTAGAATGCATGTAGATAATTCTAACTGCCGCACTATACATAAAAACGTGTCACTCTTTCAGAGATTATATATATATATATATATATATATATATATATATAGAGAGAGAGAGAGAGAGAGATAGATATATATATATATATATATATATATATATATATATATATATAGATAGATAGATAGATAGAGATAGATATATAGATAGATAGATAGAGATAGATATATATATAGATAGATAGAGATAGATATATATATAGATAGATAGAGATAGATATATATATAGATAGATACAGATAGAGAGAGATACAGATAGAGATATAGATATATAAATATAGATAGATATATAGATATAGATAGATATATAGATATAGATACTATATTTCAGATCGAGAATACTGTAGCATTGTATTTGTACGTGATATTTTCGCTAAAGAATCGTTGATAAGGTTTTTCTAAGAATGAAGTCTTAGGAAATTGAGCTGTGAGTTTTTGCTTTATTTTCTGCGGTCAGCCAACGATCAACCCGTCAGATCTTCATTGACATCAAGGCGAAACTAATGGCCACTTGTAACTGCCGTTCAACTTTGCCGCACACCACTTCGGTTGAGACCAGTGATTACAGTCAATTACAGCCATTTCCTTTCTGGCTCCCATCCCTGCCATCATTCAATTTTGCTACAATTCTTGTTTTCGTGTTCATTTTGTTATATTTCTTGTCCTCTTCAGCTATTTCCATCTTACTTTCATGGCCATTCAAATCTGCTTCCTTTCTATTTTTCTTTTACCAACTGATGAACTTTTCTTTCTTTCGTTTACTTCACACAGATTCCTTAGCAATATTTACTTCGTTTCCATCACCCACAGACTCCTTAACAATCTTTCTTTTTATTATTCCTCGCCCCAAGACTCCTTATCAATCTTTCATCACTGATATATTTTGTCAACTTTTCTTTCACTTTTCATTATTTCTTTTGCTTTTACTTATTTAAATCTCACCGTCATTTTCACGTTCTTTGGTCAGTCTTTTTTCATCACTTTTTTTCCTCGAAGTTTACTTATATTTATGCGATACAAGGCCAACATATCACTATAGAAGTCCACTTAGAACATCATCACTCGAAGAATGACCTCTGACACTAACGAGAAACACGTAACTATTTCAGCCAAGAGGTAGTCCTTTTTTTTTTTTTAAATTCAGTCATCCCTTATTTGTCCAATACGATATGAATTTCTTTTGTGAAGAGTTAGTGTTATTTATATCATTTACATGGGAGCTATCGTCCTCGCCTTTGTTATCATCAAGACATTTTTAGCCTTCACAAAGTGCTTGCCGGTGAGTAAATAAAATATTAATGGAGAAATGTCAGACTTTATTGTCGGAGAAAATTTACATCGTCGTTAATTTACATTTGTCATTTTAGATTGTTTATTCTCTGGTGCCTATATTTTGTTTCTTTTTATTTCGTTCAAATATTTCTCCCTGTTTTTTTTTCCATTTAATGGAGTTTTTTTCTATTTTCTCCCATTCTGTTCATCCATTATTCGCTTTCTTTCGCATTTCATAGAATTTCCTCGCCGCTCTCTTAACAGAACTGATTTTACCAAAGATGTCAACAATTACTCTCCAGTTCCATCAAAATTCAATTATTGAAGAATTTCATACATATAGCAGCGTCCAGTATTAAAAGAACGAAAGTTTAAAAATAAATCCCCGATTTTAAAGATTTGTTTGTGAAAAAATATTACAGTAGAATGAAAAACGTTATAGATAAAAACAGTTCATTAAAAAAGAAAATAGAAGCATCCAAATTTATAAAACCAAATATTGTCATTATTTACACTATTTACACGCGGACTACTTTCCTAATCTTTATTTTTCGTGAAGTTTCGGCCGTTGTGTCCTTCAGCCTTCTTCAGGTGCTTATCGATCAGGGTAACCTACAGGAAATATTGAATCCTTTATTTATGGGGATACATTGTCGCTGTCTAGGGATAGATACCTTCTAGTTCTTAGTATTGCACAGTTATTTCTCACCCATCGAGTCCAACGACACTCTACCCGACATAAGAATTGAACTCAAAATCACTGTCACCAAATTCACCAAACTAATCTGCTTTCTGATGAGAGCATCGGAATGAGAACTATCTAACTCTGTAGATACAATAAAGGGTTCACTTCGAATTACTCTGTAGGTTACCCAGATCGACAAGCACCTGATTAAGGGCGGCGGGTACAACGCTCGAAACGTTATGATAACAAAAATGAGGTCAATAGTCCGCGTGTAAATAATGACATGTGGCATCCTTGATTTTTCTTTCTCGCTTAGTCGGTTATTCTCTGCATATGCAAGCGCCTATATAACAAAAAAAAAAAAAAAAAAAAAAAAAAAACAACAAACAAAAAAAAAACAACAAAAAAAAAAAAAAAGAAAATCAAACAAACAAAAAAAATCCGTCTTTTATCGCAGCATCTGATTATAATGTTATTTAATACTCATCTTATATTCTCGCATATCCATTCTTATTAACATACTAATAAAACAAATGACCCATCTGACCGGAGTGAGATACAAACCCGGATGAGGAAAAAAACAATAAAAACTTTAAGTGCTAGATTTGAAATTTAGGAGAGTTTAAAAAAATAAAAATAAAAAAAAATAAAATGAACAACACTATTCAATATCAACCAGTAACGGATATTTTGAAATTACCGAAAATCTTAACAGTGCTACATGTCAACGAAAAAACATAAAAAATATACATATAATATATTCACCATCACTTATATATATATATATATATATATATGTGTGTGTGTGTGTGTTTCATTATAAAAATATAGACAAGATTTGTCTACTTATTTTAAGCAAATTCTGATAAGCTTAATAACATTATCATTAAAAGACGAAAGAAAAATCACCATATTGATACACGTTTTTTAATACTATCTAAGCTTTCGGCTTACTTAGGCCATCAGAGATGACAAATGGATTACAAGAAATTAAACAATACACGGTCTCGTCAGGATAGTTACTTGTCAAGAGTTCACAAGTGACCACCCTGACGAGACTGTATGGTCGAAACTCGGGTTGTGTGTTACGAGTGAATTTCTTCCTATCTACTATAATTTTATTATCCGCTCCACACATTCTATTTTGTGTATTTGAGCACTTTTTAAAAAAATTCTGCACATGGGTCTCGCCTACCATATCTCTATCTATCCCTAGCTATCTCTCTCTCTATATATATATCTATATATCTCTCTCTATATATATATATATATCTATATCTCTCTCTCTATATATATATATATCTATATCTCTCTCTCTATATATATATATATATATCTCTATATATATATCTATCTAGATATCTATATATCTCTAGATATCTCTAGATATCTCTAGATATCTATATATATATATATCTCTAGATATCTATAGATATCTCTAGATATCTATAGATATCTCTATCTAGATATCTATAGATATCTCTATCTCTAGATATCTAGATATCTCTATCTCTAGATATCTAGATATCTCTATCTCTAGATATCTATAGATATCTATTTATAGATATCTATTTATAGATATCTATATCTCTCTAGATATCTATATCTCTCTATATATCTCTCTATCTCTAGATATCTATATCTCTCTCTATCTCTCTCTAGATATCTCTCTATCTCTCTAGATATCATCTATATCTCTCTCTCTATCTATCTATATCTCTATCTATCTATATCTCTCTCATCTATCTATATCTCATCTATCTATATCTATCTATCTATATCTCATCTATATCTATATCTCTCATCTATCTATCTATCTATCTATATCTCATCTATCTATTATCTATCTATCTATCTATATCTATCTATATCTCTCTATCTATCTATCTATCTATCTATCTATATCTATCTATCTATCTATATCTATCTATCTATCTATCTATATCTATCTATCTATATCTCTCTATCTATATCTATCTATATCTCTATCTATCTATCTATCTATAGATATCTATCTATCTATATATCTATCTATCTATAGATATCTATATCTCTCTATCTATCTATAGATATCTATATCTCTCTATCTATCTATAGATATCTATATCTCTCTATCTATCTATAGATATCTATATCTCTCTATCTATCTATAGATATCTATATCTCTCTATCTATCTATAGATATATATCTCTATCTATCTATAGATATCTATATCTCTCTATCTATAGATATCTATAGATATCTATAGATATCTATATATCTCTCTCATCTATAGATATCTATATCTCTCATCTATAGATAGATATCTCTCTATCTATAGATATCTATATCTCTATCTATAGATATCTATATCTCTCTATCTATAGATATCTATATTCTCTCATCTATAGATATCTATATCTCTCTATCTATAGATATCTATATCTCTATCTATAGATATCTATATCTCTCTATCTATAGATATCTATATCTCTCTATCTATAGATATCTATATCTCTCTCTATCTATCTAGATATCTATATCTCTCTATCTATCTATAGATATCTATATCTCTCTATCTATCTATAGATATCTATATCTCTCTATCTATCTATAGATATATATATCTATCTATCTATAGATATAGATATCTATATAGATATCATATCTCTCATCTATCTACAGATAGACATCTATATCTCTCTATCTATAGATAGATATCTATATCTCTCTCTATCTATCTATAGATAGATATCTATATCTCTCTCTATCTATCTATAGATAGATATCTATATCTCTCTCTATCTATCTATAGATAGATATCTATATCTCTCTCTATCTATCTATAGATAGATATCTATATCTCTCTCTCTATCATCTATAGATATCTATCTCTCTATCTATCTATCTATAGATATCTATATCTCTCTCTATCTAGATAGATGACTCTATCATTCTATAGATAGATATATATATCTCTCTATCTATCTATAGATAGATATCTATATCTATATATCTATATATATATATCTATATCTCTCTATCTATCTATAGATATAGATATCTATATCTAGATAGATATCTATCTATCTATCTATCTATCTATATCTATATCTCATCTATCTATCTATAGATATCATATATATCTCATATCTGTCTATCTATAGATAGATATCTATATCTCTCTCTATCTATCTATAGATATCTATATCTCTCTCTATCTATCTATAGATATCTATATCTCTCTCTATCTATCTATAGATATCTATATCTCTCTCTATCTATCTATAGATATCTATATCTCTCTCTATCTATCTATAGATATCTATATATCTCTATCTATCTATAGATATCTATATCTCTATATCTAGATAGATAGATAGATAGATAAGCAAGCCAAAACCGTTGGTGGAACCAAAGTCAACTTGTCAAAAGACCTGAATTCTCTTAAACAATATAAAATCTCAAAAGGTCATCAAAAAGAATACAAAGAAGACCTAAATATAATTACTGGGATTTCTCATGGTCTCCTATGTATGAAGGTACTGCAACTTAATTCTTAGAAGAGAGTAGTCTGACTACTCGCGCATATGATGTGATTATAGTGGTGAAGGCGTGTGTAGAACCAACTACACTGGAAGAACAGAATACAGAGGACTTGCGCACATAACGTGCCACAATGTCACTAAACCAACCTCCTCAGATTTTGAATTCATAGCTGTTATTCTCTATGACTGGTTGACAACCAAGGCTGTAGGATCCAAAGTATATGCGTATTAAAAGTAAAAGATGTCAACATGGATCAGAGAACAGGTGAAGAATATCAAAGTGATTAAACAACAAAAATTCGGGTACGCTGAACACACAGCAAAAAGAAAAGATAACAGGTGGAGCAAAAGTTTGTTTGATTGGTAGCCAACGAATAGCAAAATACAATAAGACACAAGATGGAATGTTGAAATATATTCTACTTACAAGGTCTTGCAGGGAATAGCGCAGTCATCGCAGAAGGGTTTGAGGAAAGCTTTTCCTCTGAAGTAGATTAGCATAAACCGCTTCTAATGATTATGATGAGAACTGTTGCTACCTAGCTGTTCATGGAATTTGATAATCGGGGGAATAATCACCTTAAAAGGTTTTTCTGTCATTGAAATAGACGTTTGTCATATCATGTTGGCTGTTCAAACCATCCTGAACGTTTAAGAAGCACATTGTCCGCTTCAGATTTCCAGCCACAGATACATAGAAGAATTATTAAGATGAGCAGAAATGAGATATTTTGTGACGAATAGAAGAGACTAGAAGCATGGCCCGGCGTTGCCCGTGCTTGATTAAAAAATCGTACGACTCATTCAGCAACCGCTATCACTTGACTTAAAATATTTTTGCCCTTCCTTGCCTTTAAAGGAGTGCCCTCTGCCGTGCTGGTGTTGCTACACGCCTTACTTCTTGCCTATCTCACACTGCGAAATTTTTCTAAGCTGTATACTAAACATTAAATTTGTTACGAAAAAAGAACTAAACAAAATGAACACAAAACGATCAGCTTTAAAAAAGGACTCGTAACTGGAAAAACCGAATGAAAAAAAGAATGTTAACAACAAATACTTTTTCACATCCAACCCAGTTGGACGGAATCAGAATCAACGTTGAGTTTAATCAAGCGAATGAGCCAATTGGAGAAAAGTGCCATGCAGATTTAAATTTTTCCCCACTTGTGACGAATGCAGTTATCGATTTTTTTGCATGGTAGCATGCTAGTTAACATTCGTGTCAGTCAGCTGTTGGTTCTCACGCTGGCCAATAGAATCTTCCTGCCTATTTGTGGCAGCCAGCTATAGGCTCTCAGTCTGGCCAGTAGAAAATGGCTGCAAACTACATGAAAATTGCCGTATAAGCATGAAAAAAGCGATTATTTCCACTATCGATGGGAGTTGGAAAATTCAAAGTCGGTCTTGGTCTTTCTGCTAACTTGGAGCGTGTGCATGTAAATTTTGGTGCAAATCCGTCGAAAATTGCGGCCATGCATTCGTTACACACACACACACATCCTGCCTTTTATAGATAGAATTAACTGTTTCCATGGCAATCGTTCGAAGTCAACGTCAATCGTAAATCATCCTTTTTGACATCCCCCAACACATGCTGTAATTACGTTTAACCTTTGTGGATTATCCCACTTGACTTTCCTAAAGAAACCCGTCACTAGGGGACGTTCCTTAAGCTTATAAATAGGCAATGATATTCTCACTCACTGCGAATACTGCTTGTCGACTTCTGTCTCACATTTTCTAATTTAAATGCTTTTTGAAACTAGTCTTTAAATGCTTTCTTGTCATTTTAATGCTTTTGTTAATACATGCATTTTCGTTCGTTTTATATTGTTTTGTGTTCCTACTTTATTACTTGGACTCATATTCGAGTCCGCAAAAATTTTACAGGAAAAATAATACCAGGAAACACGTGTTTTCTACACCTTTATAAATTCTATGTTTTTAATTGTGTGTCGTGCTTACTTTTTAAACGCTTCGACGAGAGAAGGATCTTAATATCATAGTGAAGTTTTTATTTCATAAATCTTAAACTTATATATATATATATATATATATATATATATATATATGAGGTACATGTCAAATTTATATGTAACACATTTATTTCCACTTATGAAGAACAAATGCATAGGTCACTTTTCGTTATCGTCCCCTTGCATGGCGATACACTTCTGGTATCGTTCAAAGAGCTTCTTCATACCTTCTGAAAAAAAAAAAAAAAGACTTACGTTTTCACGATGCCAAATCAGCACCGCTTACTTGTTTGAGCACCGAACGCGCACAAACTTTATGATACCCCCAGGCACCGTGCACTTTGGCTTGTGCCTATACCCACGATTGCCGCCACTTGTGCTAACGTGATTTGTCGGTTTTCTCTGATCAAGACATTCACTCCCCAGATGTGTTCTTCCGTGCGCTATGTTGACGAACTACCAGAACAGCTTTCGTCCATTAAACTTGTTCTACCCGCTATTGTTCTACTCACTCATACAGCTTTCATTCGTTCATAGTGCCTGCTCCATATTGCATCGACATCCTGCGATGAATTTCCGTAGGTTTGAATCCATCTGCTTACAGAAAGCGCACTACGGCTCATTGTTCCATAGAGGGTCCGAGCGTCCTTACCTCCGATCTCGTTGCCCCTTTCCATTCGACTGAACTATGAAATGTTACGCGCGGCTAGCGATCCGTCATCACATGGATGTTTCAGTTATTTCCCTTTAGCAACTAGACTCCAAGCTTTTCTTCGCCTCTGCTATGGCCAGGTATTGAACTCACAACTCTTTGCGTCAAGTCACTGGGTTGCTTCAACCAATGCAGTGGACTAAAAGGGTTCGGTTAGAAATTTCAACGTATATCATTTGAATGTTGGACTGTACAACAGCCGAAACGTCGTGAATATGTCAATAAAGATGAGGACAACAGGCCGAACAATGTAAATAGTGTAAATAATTCAATATAATCATTCCACTTTATGTCAGGGGAAAACGTGAGACGAAGAAGACGCAGTGAGTTGTCCTTCTGGAGGTTAACATAAGCTATAATGATGGATGGCAGAAAAGGTGATGAATAGTGAGAAGTTTCGCTTTAGAGGCGTTAACATTAATCAGCCACTTTTCGCCCAGTTCACATCAGATTGTAGGTCATTTTCGAGATCGGCTGCCAATTTGATTTTATCGAACCTCTCATACTTACTATTAGCCAAATTTAACACTGGTTGACAAGACTAATAGTGTAAAAACAAAAGCATACATCGTCGCCGAGAAAGTACGTCGAATGAAGTGATAGATTTATTGGTAAGATTTGGTCTTTTGTAAAGTACACGTATCTGAATGTACCTCTTGTTTAATCAGACATTCCTGGGGCAAAAGAGGAAAGATCTCGTATGCTTTACTTTCTTTAATTACTGCTTTAGACTTATAGTCGAAATAAAATTTTAATGAAGTAAAAATAGGTAAATACTAACCAAATCTAATAATTATATATATTTCTAAGCATAGCATAGATGTGGCACAAGGCCGAAAGTAAGGGGCAC